CAAACTTTCTTCCAAGTACTATTTTGAAAAATCCCCCTTTCCTGATTCAGGTAATAATTTAGGAAACTGAATCTAGAGTAGCTTCTAGCTCTTTTATTTGCCACATCAAGAACAACCGAAAGAAAAAAAAAAACAGATTGAAGACATTGTTGGAGTTCTTAATTTAACTACAATTGCAGTAAAATAGATCTCTAGTTTTCCCACAGTCTTTTATTTATTTACATATTGACTCATTCATTCATTTATTTATTCTTCCATCCATCCATCCAGCCAGCCAGCCAGCCAGTTATCTGTCTATCTATTCATCTTTATTTTGGTCATTAATGGGACTTTCCCTACTTGCTACCTAAAATGCCATCTCCATCATCTTAATGGATGAGGTGATTGACAGAACAAGAGCAGAAAGAGAAGCAAAGTGCAGGAGGACGCCCTCGATAATTCGCTGGGCGGGTGCAGCTCCTGTTAATGCTGACTAATAGCAGCCGGCACTTGCACTTCTCTAAAATCTTGTCCATATTTGACCTAAGTACCTCACCCAGTTAGATCTCGGGGATTATGCGCCACCTTCTCATGACAGCCCTTGCTGGTAGTTCAGCGCTCTGGCCTGTAAGCGGCGCCACCACTGTGCTGTCATTCAGTTCCTAGAATTCCCGCAGAAATCAGATGGAGTCTGCTCTTCTCTACCTGCCTTTTCCTGCCGCACGGCTTCCTCAGAAGTTTCACCTGACGGCTGAATTATAACATTAATAAATTTCTTAACCAAGACACATACCAACAAAGGCATGCGTTTCCCCTTTCCTTTCCAGAAAGGCTTTCTACTGTCCCAAGAGATCTTTCTTTCTTTGAGCAAATAAAATACTGATTGCATGAGTCACCCATTTCATAATGATATGCTGCACTGTAGCGTCTCTTACTCATCGTAGCGTTTGGTCAGCTAAATTTTCAGATTGTGTTGTTAGTATTGCTAAGGAAGACCCTTAAGACAGAACGAGACGGTGACTGCAACAAAGCGCT